TACATAACTTGCACTCCCTTATTTTGGAATGATCTCATGGCCAGTTGTTTTAGACATTTTATGGGGTCTGTCTTTGGGGAAAATACTTATTTGAATTATTTTTGCGTGATATCCTGACATCTAATTATGCTTTTATGGGTTTAACTCACAAATCTCCAGGAAGTCCTATGTAACAAGATGGCAGTTGAATTTTCTTTGGGAGTGTCTGCTCTGATGCATAGTGGTAGACAGGGTAAGGATTCCCAGCCCTCACTGTGTATCAGAATTACTGGGAACCTTTAAAAAGCAAAAAACAGAGCCCACTGAATTGAAGTCAGAGGGCCCCTAGGATTGTGCATTTGTTAACAAGGTTTCTAGGTGATTGTTATTGGCTAGCCTGGCATTAGGATTTTCTGGCTCTGCAGAATTGGATGCTGTAATTGGCAATATGTATCTGCCATTGGTGATTGTGATTAAGTACTAATTCCTTCATGGTATACTAATGTGAAAAAAGTCATAGCTTATACAATATTGGGACTTTGCTCATGTTTTCATAGATAGGGAACGTTCCGTGTTTCCATGAAGTATATAATCTGGTTGGGGAAGAAAACTAACACAAAGAAATTCTAAAATATCTGGCAGTGACTAAAAGTTGAGCAGGAATTAGGAGAGAGATCAGTGCAAATAGATATTTTATGTATGTTTCTTTTTCTCAAATCATGATCTGGCTGTCTGAGAACAGCTCACAGGCATATTTTGTTTGACCAGATTATTTTTTTAAACTTGAATTAGTTGTTTCCATTTAAAAGATAGGAAAATAATTTGTATTTTTTTCTTTAAAATTTGGAATCAGTTCTCTCTGGGCCTGCATGCCTCTGTAGTATGTAATAGAGCTCCCATCCATAAACAAAGTGAGGTCCTATTTATGTGACACAGTTCCCACACAGCCTGCTTTTCTCGTTTGTATTTTGTACCTAGTCATGTGGACATTTGATTTTGTCAGCCTTGACCAAAGTTGCTTTATCTTTTTAAAAACAGCTTAGTTGAAGTATAAACAATAGGGTGTATATCTCTGAAACGTACAATTTGTAAGTTTGGATACATGTATACACCAGTGTAACCGTCACCACAGTCAGTATAGTGTGTCCTCATCTTCAGAAGTGTCCTCATGTCCTTTGTAATTCCTCCCTTCTGTGCCTTCCTGACCTCTCTGTCCCCAAGCAAACACTGATTCCATTACTTTGCATGTTTGTGGCTTTATATAAATGAATCAGTTATGTGGCTTCTTTCACTCAGCATAAATATTTTGAAATCTGTCCATGTTTTTGAGCATATCCATACTTCATTCTCTTTTATTGCTGAGTAGAGTTGTATTTATGGATATTCCACAACTTGTTTATACATTTGCCTGTGATGGACATTTGGGTTGTTTTCAGTTTTTGGCTCTCACACATGATGTGGCTATGAACATTTGCATACAAGTCTTTGCATGGGTGTATATTTCTTTTTCTCTTGGATAAATATGTAGGAGTGAAATGGTTGGGTGATATGGCGAGGGTATGTTTAACTTTATAAGAAACAGCCAGGCTTTTACAAAGTGGTTTTAACACTTTACATTCCCATCAGCAGTGAGTAAGATTTCAGTTGCTCCACATTCTTGACAACACTTTTTAATTTTAGTCATACTCTAGGGTGTGTAGAGGTATATCATTGTGGGTTTCATTTGCATTTCCCTAATGACTAATGTAATGATGTTGAGAATCTTTTCATGTGCTTTTTGTCACACATACATATTCTTTGGTGCAGTCTCTATTAAAATATTTTGCCTTTTTTTTTTAGTTGAGTTTTATGTTTCAGTTTTGAGAGAGAGACATTCTGTATACAAGTCCTTTATTGGGAATATACTTTGCGAAGTCTTTCTCCTAGTCTGGCTTGTTTTCATTTTCTTAATGGTGTCTTTTGGAGTTATAGAAGTTTTAAATTTTGATGAAGTCCAGTTTATCAGTTTGTTCTTTTATTGATTTTGCTTTTGCTGTCACCTAAGACAGTAAAATTTTGCCTAACCTAAGAACCCACGAAAATTTTCTTCTGTGTTTTTACTAAGTATGCATTCAGATTCACTTTTTTCCCTGACATGTGGTTATCCAGTCATTCCAGCATCATTTGTTGAAAATGCTGCCCTTTGCATCTTTGTAGAATATATCAGTTGCCCATATATATGTGGGTATATTTCTGTACAGGCTGTTCTGTTCCATTGGTCTTTTTGCCTATCCTTATGCAAATACTATAATTTTTTATTATTACAGCTTTCCAATATTTTTATGATCAGATCACATTAGTTCTCAAACATGTTCTTTTTTTCATAGTGGTATGGGGCATTCTAGGTCCTTTGCATTTCTATATGAATTTTAGAACCCATTTTCAATTTACACGTAAAAGCTGCTGGAATTTTGATTGGGATTGCATTGAATCTGTAGATAGGTTTGGAATGAACTGGCATTTCACCATATTAAGTGTTGACTCATGAACAAGGTATATTGCTCCATTTATTTAGGTTCTTAATTTCTCTTAGCAGTGTTCTACAGTTTTTAACATACAGATCTTTCACATCTTTTATGTTTATCTCTAAGTGGTTCATATTTTTTATGTGATTGCAAAGGTTTTTAAAAATTCAATTTCCAGTTGTTCATTATTTGTATGTAGAACTCTTGATTTTTGTGTATTGATCTTATATTTTGCAATCGTGTAAACTTACTAGTTCTAATACTTTTTTATTGTAGATTCTGTCTGATTTTCTACGTAGCCAATCGTGTTTGATGTTAAAAGACAGTTTTACTTCTTTTTTTCCAACATGAATTCCTCTTGTTTCTTTTTCTTGTCTGGTTGTACTAGGTAGAACTCCCAGTACAATGCTGAATAGAAGTGGTGAGACCGGTCATCCCTATCTTGTTCCTGATCCTAAAGGAAAGCATTCAGTCTTTTACTTTTATGATGTTTGCTGCAGATTTTTCATAGACACCCTTAACTCAGGTTGAAGAAATTCCCTTCCGTTCTTAGTTTGGTGAGGTTTTTCTTAATAAGGAATGGATGTTGGATTTTGTCTAATGCTTTTCCTGCTTCTATTGAGATGATCATTTGGTTTTTCATTTTTGGTTTGTAATGTGTGATATATTACATTGATTTTTTTTTTTTTTTTTAACATTTTTGAATGTTAAGTCAACCCTACATTCCTGAGATAAACCCCATGTGGTCATGATGTATATTATGCTCTTAATATTATTGGAGTTTACTCGCTAAATTTTTTTAAAAAGAATTTTTGTCTATGTGTACGTGAGAGATAGAAGTCTGTTTTTTTCTTCTTGTATATCTTTGTCTAGTTTTATGGTGGCCCTATAGAATTAATTTGGAAGTGTTTTTCTAGTCTTTTATTTATCTCTGCTCTCATCTCTATTACCCATGTGGTCATGATGTATATTATGCTCTTAATATTATTGGAGTTTACTCGCTAAATTTTTTTAAAAAGAATTTTTGTCTATGTGTACGTGAGAGATAGAAGTCTGTTTTTTTCTTCTTGTATATCTTTGTCTAGTTTTATGGTGGCCCTATAGAATTAATTTGGAAGTGTTTTTCTAGTCTTTTATTTATCTCTGCTCTCATCTCTATTATTTACTCCCTTCTGTTAGCTTTTGGTTTATTTTGTTCTGTTTTTTCTATTTCCTCTAGCAAGTAAGGTGGTGGTTTGAGATCTTCTTTGTTAACGTCTGTGTTTATAGCCAAAAATTTCTCTCTGCTTACTGCTTTAACTCCATCCCATGTGTTTTGGTATGTTGTATTTTTGTGTTCATTTGTCTTAAAGAATTTTATTTCCCTAGTAATTTCTTTGACCTGTTGGTTGATTAGGTGTGTATTGTTTAATTTTCACATATTTGTGAATTTTCCAGTTTTCCTTATGTTACTGATTTATAGTTTCATTATGCTGTAGTCAGAGAAGATACTTGTTTGATTTTGATCTTTTTAAATCCATTGAGAACTGTTTTATGGCTAACATATCCAGGAGAATGTTTCATGTGCATTTGAGAAGAATATATAGTCTGCTGTTGTTGGATCAGGTGTCCTGTATGTCTGTTAGGTAGGTCCAGTTGATTTATAGTATTGTTCAAGTCCTCTTTTTACTTATTGATCTTCCATCTAGATGTTCTGTCCACTATTGAAAGTGGGATATCAGTCTTTAACTATTATTGTAGAACAGTTTCTCTCTTCATTTTTGTCAGTGTTTGCTACATATATTTCGGTGCTCTGTTTTGATGCGTGTTTGTTCATAGGGGACTCGTTTAGACCCAGAGACACTGATAGGTTGAAAGTGAAAGGATGGAAAAAGATAGATAGAGATACACACCATGCAAATAGTAACCAAAAGAGAGATGGTCTGTCTATACTAGCATCAGACTAAATAGATTTTGAGTCCAAAATTGTTTAAAAACCAAGAGAGGGACAAAGGGTATTATGTACTGACAAGGGGAATGGGCTTGTGGAATCCCTCATGCTGTCATGCCAGAAGTGGAGCTCCTTGAGGCCACTAATTTTTTACTGTCTTTCATTCTCAGACTTTTTGTTTTAAAGCAACTGTTCTGTTTGGTAAGAGTTGAGATGTTACTTTCTTGATACTGGAAAAACTTCTGAGGCTTTGTAGGTGTTTCTGTCATCTGGCTCCCCCAGCTAGACTCTGGGGAGAGGCAACTATCTGCTGCTGCTTCTCAAGCCTCTTTGCTTGTATGTGTGTCTAAGATGAAAAACCTTAATTCCAGTTCTTCACGTTTTCTAATAATAAAAATCAGTATATATCAGGTGTTACCTATTTGTCAGTGCCCTGTATTTTGAAATACATGGTCACATTTAATATTACAGGAAACTTATGAGATTGATAGTATCTCCATTTTAGAGAAAAAGAGACTCTGAGGCCCTGAAGAGCTCTGCTTTTAATTGCTGTTTCTGTTGTCCACTTTAGTAGCCATTTGCCATACATGGCCACCAACGAAGCACTTGGAAGTGTGGCTTGTCCACAATTGAGATGTGAGATGTGCTGTGTCCAAAATATGCCATTAGTATGGAAGAAAATGTAAAATGTCCTGTTAATGTTTTCTGAATTGATTACATGATATATTATATATTTTGGATATACTGGGTTAAATAAAATATATTGTTAAAATTTCACCTGTTTCTTTTTACTTTTTAAAAGTGTGGCTACTGTAAAACTTAAAATTATATATATAGCTTGCATTATATTTCTGTTGTTCAGTACTTCTCTACATTATCTGTATTTCTGTTAGGTCTTTTCTTTCCATGATTAATTTGGAAAAATGTGACGATTACAAGAAGTATTGTAAAAGTCTCTTTAACTTTTGGCAAATCAGCATTTTTTTTTTCTTTCATGCAGTAAAAAATATACACTCAAAACCCATTATTTTATAAAGAAAACATTTTACTGAAGTTTATGATTTTTAAAAATCTCTGTTCCATTAAGTTATTTTTCCATGCATAATAATGATCAATAAATTGATTTTCTTTGGGTAGCTTTGTATTTTTAAAATTTTTAATTATTAAAAATGGCTAAAGCATGATAGTTGTATGTGGAACTTTTGTATTTGAAAATGTCAGGTCAGGAATTCTTAAACAAGTTGCTTAGTATTTTAATTATTTGTATTGTGTCTGTTTTAATTTAGTTAAAACTGACTTTAATTGGCTCTTTCTCGTAGACGATGACTTTGACCAGTTTGATAAGCCTGGTGCAGAACGGTCCTGGAGGAGAAGAGCTGCGGATGAGGACTGGGACAGGTATGTACACGTCGGTGTATCACCTGAGAGAGAGTATGCTGTTTTACATGATTCTGCCCTTGACTACGGAGAGATCTTCACTGAAAACAGTGTGTTGGCTACCTGATGCTCTTTACTGAGTGGACTTGTCCCTATTGGGCTAAAGTGAGGGCTGTCCAGGTGAAAGTCTACCTGGTGGGCTCCTATTCCAGGCCTGTATTGTATGCAGGGCTGCCAGGAGAACCTAGGTCTTCCTTTCTGTCTCTCTGTTTTTATACAGTGATGGTATTGACTTTGTGGACACTCAGAACCATTATTGCAGTAATTGTATGCTAGAGTTCCTTTTATTCCACATCCTACTCAGTATTTGGCTGGACTTAAAATTTCTTGCCGTCTAATATTTTAGAATGGTATGTCACAATAATTTTAGTTTGCATTTTCCTGATTACTAGTGAAGATGAAAATATCTGTTTAGCAGTACACAGACTAAAACAAATTCCACAGTAGTGTAGATGTCAATTTTGGTGTAGTGGTTCCCTCTGGTGAGGCGTTCCAGTAGAAGTCAGAGGAGTGTATATTGGGAGAAGCCCTCTGGGGGGCTTAATCTGGGTGGAGAGGTTGAGAAATAATGATTACTGTTTACAATCTTAAATGCTTAAGATCTTACCATCTTAAATGCTGTATTGAGAAAATATAAAAATTACTTTGGAGTCACAATTGGAAAGTTTAATAATAAAGGCAAGAGTCATTAAAAAAAGGGACAGATAACCATTGTATAATTTTCAAAGTCAGGAAGTTTAAGAAACATGTAATTCCATTTTTCAACGTACAGTGGTTATTCAAATTTTGTCAGTTGTCCCAATAATGTCCTTCATAAGCCCCCAAAAAGAAATTTTTTAAGTTTAATTTAAAAAATTTTTTTCAGTAATTTTTAATTTAAACATATTGATTATATTTCAATACATTTATGCAATGTATGATTCTCTAACCAGGGTAATTAGCATATTCATCATTGCAAAACTTTGTGATGTGAACGTTTGATCTCCTCTCTTCTAGTCGTTTGATAACACATGATAAATCATTGTTAATGATAGATTCCTGGGTCAACTATACACCAATAGAACCTATTTTTTCTATCTGGCTGTAATTTTGTGCCAGTTAACCAGCGTCTCACTATGCCTCCTCGTCCTTCCCCTTTGTAGCCTCTAGTAACCACAGCTCTTTTAACAGTTCAGTTTATTCTTGTTGTTATTTATTTGTTTTTTTAAGCTCCCACGTGAGTGAGAACATATGGTATTTCTCTTTCTGTGCCTGGCTTATTTCACTTAACATAATTTTTTCCAGGTTCTTCCATGCTTCTGTGAATAGCAGAATTTTCTTTTTTTTCTTTTTTTTTTGGTCTTTTGTCTTTTTCCGTGTCCGGCAACGGATCGCAACCCTCAGTGTTGCCCCCGTACCGGACCGGGGATCAGCAACGGGATTGCAACCCTCGGCGTTGCTCCCGCACCTCGCTCAGCCAGTGAGCGGGAACCGGTCTGTACGTGGGATCCGAACCCTCGGGCGGGAGCGCCGCCGCGCTTCTCAAGCGGCGCACTATCCAGTGCGCCACCGGGCCGGCCCAGAATTTTCTTTTTTATGGCTGAGTAATATTCCATTGTGTAAGTTCTTTTGTTCCAGTTCAAGTTTCAATTCAGGATTATACATTGTGTTTTCCTTTCGTTGTTTCTTAATGTGGAAAAATTCTGTAGCCTTTGTCTTTTATATAACTTTGACATTTTTGAAGAGTACAGGCCATTTATTTTGTAAAATAACTCAATTTGGGTTTGTTGATGTTTCCTCATGACTAGATTCAGGTTGTACGTTTTGGTCTGGAATGCTATGTAGGTGATGCTGTGCCCTTCCGCAGGGCTTTGCTTCAGGGGGCGCATAATGTTGGTTAAGAGGGTCTCTGCTTATTGTCCTTGAATTCTTCCTTACCTTGTATTTTGGGTCTGTCCTGTATGTTCTATGAAAGGTTTTTTTTTTTTTTTTTACAATTAAATATAAAATCTGCCTGTAGTTGATTAAATTGATTTTCTTTTACTTAGAATATCAAGCCTATGTGAAAGTGGAATATTGTAATGAACCCAATGTACTGTCATCCAGCTTCAACAATGACCAGTCTATAGCTAATCTTGTTTTATCTACATTCTCTGCAGACCTCCTCTCATCACAGACATGATTTCTTCTGAATATTTCAGTGTTTCTCTAAAAAATAAAGGATTTATAAACATAGCTACAATAGTTATAATTTCTAAAAAAAAAATCGTTATTATTAATAAGTGCTTTGTTAATGTTCACATTTCCCTGATTGTCTCATATTTTTATGTGTGTGCATGTGTTTGTATGTATATACATGTTAAATGTGTATGTGAGTATACTGTGCACTCATACTGTGTACATCTGTGTACTTTTTCATCATTTGAATTAGGTCCAAATAAGGTCTGTATATTGTAATCAGTTGGTATGTCTTTTCAGTGTTGTTTCATCTATAGATTCTCCACCCTCCATCTTATTTTAATTCCCTGCAATTTTTGTTGGAAAAACAAGGTAGTTTGTTTTCTAGAATTTCTGTTTTTGCTGATTGCATCCCCTGAGGTGTTCTTAGTGTGTTCCTTTACCCTTTGTCTTTTTATATTATTTTATGTAAATTAATAGTTAGGTCTAGGGGTTGATCAGACACAAGTTTGAATTTGGGGAGGAGGAGGGGTATTGCAGCGTCTTCAGTGTTGTTGTGTTCTTCCATCAGGAGCTGCATTGTGTCTGGTGAACTTCAAGTGGTGATGTTTCTTCTCTTTCTGTTAACCTGGTAATAACTTCTATAAACTAGTTGGTTCTTCTGAGGTACAGATTATACAGGAAAGGCAGAATAAGTGATTGATTCTACCTTTTATTTATCAGTTTTCTGAGTAATGAGTCAGACTCAGCATCCTCCAGGGGTGGTTTGTTTTGAATTCTTTTGAACTCGTAGATTGAAATGTTGGCTGTTTGATCCATTGTAGTTGTCATCCTTATTGCTGGTCAGACTGCTCCAGTGTGTGTTCACTTGGTATTTACTCAGTAGGCCCTAAGTCTGTCTGACATGACTTTACTTGTCTAGAGCAGCTTTCTTGCTTTCTGCATGATGGAACTTGTGTTTGGTCATAGTGGAGACTGGATTCTAGTGTTGATTGTTCTCAGTATGTGCTCAGCAGTTGTCCCAGTGTTGTTTATGAACAAACTTTTCCTTTTTCACTATCTTCAGTGCCATGTTTACATACCTAAGATTCTCAGTCGTGTATTTCTATATTTGATATGTTTTAAGCATAAAACAGCCTCTTCTGTGTGCTGAATATAGAGGGAAAAACTTGGAAGTTGTGGAGAAAAGTGAGTCAGATATTGTTGTGAAAAGTTCTTGCTGACATGTTGCATTAATGGTATATTTGGAAGAATATGATGTCCTTACCAAACTAATACCTGAAATTTTGGGGTTTTTTTTTTTCTTTTTAAAAAGATGTGCACATATTGACTGTATCTAGGCAAGAAAGAGAAGTCATACACAAGAGGTTTTAACTAAAAATAATTTAACGAAGGGTCTATTTACAGGGCAGGGTTAATGAGTTATAAGAGTCAGCAAGCATCCAGGGAGTAGCATTCCATCTCTGGCCCCACCCAGGCTCCTAGGGGCATGAAGTGGTGTCCTAGAGCCCAGTGAGAGCTGGAGTGCTGGAGGCTGCAGTCCCTGCCCAAGTCAAGGTGCAGGTGAGGTTGGAAGGGCCAGTCTCTCTCCTCCCACCTCCAGCCCCAGAGCAGGCAGTGACAGGAGTGTGGACTGGAGTGGGAGGACACAGACCACCGACCATAGGCAGTGGTTGTGTTACACTGACACTTCTTTGTTTGAAAACCTGCAGCCAAGAGGCTGACAACAAAATACTTATTTCCTGAAAAAATGTCTTTCAGGATACTTCTGTTTATAAGTAGAAGAATACTTGCTCTCAAAGAGCTGATTTTCTCTAATCTTTGATAAGGAGTATTTGCCAAAAAGGTGTTTCTTACTCAAATAGTAACTACTGGTGAAATCTTGACGGAGTTTGCAGTTGAACACGGGAAATCTCTTCATCAGTCCAGTGCTCATTTTATTTTCTAGAATAGTTACCATTATTTCTAAACAATAATATCTTTAAAAGATAAATAACTGCTCACCCCTTTGAAACTGCCAGATGTGGGCCAGTCATTTCCATTAGTTCTTTGTTGTTTTTGGCAACAGTTGATGTAATTTTGGTAGTTTTATGTACTTAATAAGTTTCTTCCCTTATGTGTAGAACTTTTATGAGGATCCAACTTTGATGACAATAAGAGAAATACAGTTGTCCTTCGGTATCTGAGGCGGATTGGTTCCAGGAACACCCCCCCCCCCCCCCCCCCCCCCCCCCCCCCCCCCACC